TTTTCACTGTAGGGCGCATGCGCTCGCCAGACAGAGAGAGACATAGAGACAGAAAGTGAGAAATCACCCCCCAGGGGGGATGGTCACGCCGCAATCCCTTCTCCTCCATTCTCCTCTCGAGATCTTGAGCACGCACGCACAAGCGCCCAGCGTGAGTTTTAAGCCACCGGGTCCAGGACACGAACCGCGGTCGACTACGTGGGAGTCCAGCGACATAGCCATTATGCTAACTGCTGGTTCCCTATAGAGTGTTTTTATCACCATGGCCTTTATAGAGTTCAGCCTGCCCCTGCTGCCGGCCACCTGCCCCTGACCCAGCCCCTTCCCATCCCCAGTGCCCATAGCCCTGGGCCCAGGACCATTGCCAAACCAGATGGGAGGCTGCAGGCTTCTCAGGGGAGCTGTAGCACTAGAGCCCGAGGACTCAGGTATCAGCACTGAGTCAGGGGCCAGGGCAAGAGGACAGGTGACAGGCAGGGCTCAATTCACACCTCAGTGTGCCTGACCCCCAGTCCCCTCGCCTGCACAGGGAGACAGTGGCTCTCCTGTCTATGTTACTGCATAGGGGGAGGAAGAGATAAGACACCTCCTTCACTCGATGGCTGTAGAAGTGACACCAGGGCACTGACGTTTCATATTGGGCATTCTGGAAGCTGGAGGCAAGTTCTCCAGAACAGTGATGCCTCCAGCCTCGTAGTCAAGAGCACAGAGAATTGCTCTGGCTGTCTGGGCTAAAAGACTGATCCATTCCCTCGGGACAGTCCCCTGTGACACAGGGTGCTAATGGCAGTCCTATTGGCAGCAGGGAGGACTCCCTGGGAACAACCTGAAGACAGAGTTACTGAAGTCAGGAGCACTGGAATGAATATCCTGGAGAGCTGGGAGACTCGAAGCTGCAAGGTATGACTTCAAATCTGTTTCTGCCTCTTTGGAACTTGACACTCTCTCTGGGTCGGGGCCACAGCTCTTCTTGAACCCACTTCACAGGCAGGCCTGGAAGTAAATCTGACACTGCACCATTCAGTTTTACAGTGCAAGGTGCAGGGCCCTCAGTGCCACGCTCAGCTGCCAGCATCTGTCAAGATGCAACAAGACAGCCCCCTTTCCCCTGCCCTTCTGCCTCAGGCCCTGACAGTGCCAAAGCTCCAACACTGTACAGGCACCCCCCCGCCTATCACACATGGGGGCGGGGAGCCAAAGCCAGAGAGAGGACTCCCTCAACCACCTGGCCTCAGCACAACTCCTGCTGCCCCAGCACTGAGGACTGTTTCAGTCTCCCCACGAACATCCCCTCGAGATTCCACCAGGACATAAAGGCAGGCCAAGGGCACAGCTTCCTCATCTAAAATGTAAACCAGCCCCTCAAGTTCCCATCCCCAGACTCCATGGTACTATGGAGGCTGAGCATGGAGGATATGTTGCTTCTCGTGCCAGGTGGGAAAGCAAAACCCAGATGTGCCCCTAATCTAGACCTCAGAGAGGTCTCTGGGCCCAGCCTTGGCCAGTGATGGCTCTGCAGACATGACGCAGGCAGAGACCTGAGTTACCTGGCTTTGGCCTCACCTGCTGCTGGTGATCCCAAGTAGCTATGAGAAGTCTGGATTGGCCAGCTGAAAGATGAAACCACCTGGAGACCCAGCCAGGTCTAACCTGCTTCCCAGGCAGGACACTGAGGCCTGGATGAAGGAAGGGCAATGTCCCGAGCTAAAGAAGGGACCCAGATCTTACAGTCTCTGAAGGCATATGTCAGGCGAGCTCAGGCCTCCAGGCAATTAAGTTTTAAGACTCTCATCTTAGGCCCAGCAGGTGGCATGGTGGTTAAGGTTCTAGACTCCCCACATGGCCACTGCGGTTAGAGTCCTGCAAAAAAAAAAAAAAAAAAAAAAGACCTCATCTCAGCAGAAGGCGCTGCTGCTGCTCAGCAAACCCTCATCCCTGGGCTTTGTTCCTCAGCAGTGTTGGGGCCCAGAAATTCTCCAGACTGGTGAGACTTACCTCCAAGTCACAGCACAAAGTAGAGAGGCTGAGACCTGGACCTAATGCCAGTGGCCCCAGGTACAAGGCTGGCCTACCTGTGGCTCCATTTTGCACATGTGCACATGGAGGTGCAAATGGATGGCCCTTGCTCAAGGTCACCAGCCAAGCAAGATGTAAAGCCAGCCCTGAGCACAAAGCCCTGACTTCCAGGGCCCACACCCAGGTGCAGCCCCAGGTTATAGGGCCAGGAGGGGACCCAGGCAGGAACAGAAATGCCAGGAATGCAGGTAGAGCCTCAACAAAGGCTGCAGATCCCATGGGCGGCGGGGCTCACAAATAATCCTGCCACAAACCACAGCCTCCGTTGGCCTACAGCCCCTTCCTGTCTGCCTGGTCTCCCATCCTGCCTGCTTCAGGGATGGTTCTCCCCACTGGAGACAGGGCAAGGGGACAGGGCTGGGCACCACCGTGGCCCTCACCTGTGGAAATGAATGAATGAATGAATGAACGACGGAAGGAAGCCAGCAACCACCCGTGAGGTCTTGAACCTCTTTTTGTAGAATTTCCTCTTCTCCAAGAGTACACCAGGCTTTTCTGCTCCATTACTTTAATGGACATAGCATTTCACCAGACGGCTTTGCACAGAAGGAAAAAAAAAAAAAAAAGAAGAAAGAAAAAGAAAAAAAGAAAGAAAGAAAAACTGAGCGGTATCACCGGCATCTCACAGAAACATAAATACATAAATTACAGGTTTATACACCTCACGTCTGACATACATTCACGGGCACAGCATTAGCATTGAGAATGGTGCAGCGCCGAGATGTCAGCACAGGGGCCTGGGCAGGGCCTGGGGGCACCCGGCACGGGGTCTGTCCTTCCAAGATGGGCAGCCAGGGGATGGCCACCCTGGCCTGCTTGAAATGTGTCCAACTGCAGCCCACATGCTGCACCGTGAAGATGAGCTGTTCAAGATGTTCCTTTATAAAAAATCTTCCATAAGCTCATACAACAGACACCGGGCGCCATTCCAGAGACAGGGGCCAAGGGATCACGACAGTTGCAGGAGCCACGAGGCGTTGGAGGCCGGCAGCAGGGCAAGGCAGGGCTCCAGGTTGCCCAGTGAGTAGATGCAGCACACAGCCTGCAGGGTGGCAATCTCTGGACCACTCCCAGTGGGTTCTGGAGTCCCAAGGGCAGACCCGCATTCCTCAAGTTCTCACTGCAGGGGCAGGTCCAGGGGCGCCGGCCCAGACGGCTCTCATCTCCCAGTTTTCACCCAACAACTGTGTCATGTGATCAGGGAGCAGGGTCTAGACTCAGTTAAGCAACTAGAAAAATGTGACCACAAAATACTTTTCATGTGCATGGGTTTTGTTGGTGGGATTTTTTTTTTCTTTTGGTTCAAAAAAAAAAAATAATAGCAGGCTCTCAAGTATATAAAACTGGTAATATTAGATAAAAATACAAACTTCACTTTTACAAAAACAAAAAGGAAAAACAAGAAAAACAAACCACGCACACACATTTTTGTTAATACACATAAAGCATAACATTTTACCAAAAATAAAGGATTTAAGTTCTGTCCAAACACTGGCAGCAGCAGGGAGCGGCCTCCGCTGCGGTAGCACATTAACGATACAGGTAGAAGCATCTTGCCCAGCTATGCTCAGAAAAAGACCCTCTGCTGTTTGCCACAGGGAACATGGTATCGCCCAGCAAACTGGAGGTCTGGGGGCAAGAGCCGCAGGGACGGCATACGATTGGTTTACGCATAGTTCTCTCAAAATGGCTTAAATTAAAAAATAAAATAAAGTGGGGAAGGGGAGAACACATAAAGGCAGAAACATTTAGGAAATGATGCATAGGTAGGTATACCATGTTTATTTTAATACATCTCATTAGTTTGCATCCTGCTAGGAAAAATACCGTCACACTGTCCTGACAGTTACAGCAGCCTTGGTGGGTGTGTTATCGGTGTAAATGTCATCCAAGAGATAATTAAAAAAAAAAAAAAAAAAAAAAGATAGGCAAAGAGTAAAAAGGAAAGCTTAATAATCACTTTATGGTGTAAAAAAAATCCACTTAAGGCTCTCAGGAAGGTTTCTGTATAGACTTAAACACTACGGCGAGGAGGTGTGGTTTCTAAAGTTCGTGTGGCGGTTTCCGAGACATTCCCGCTATCTTGCGTGCCCCTGCAGAGCCCGCTGGCATCCCTTTGGAGTCATCCCAAAAGTAGGCTCTGTGTCCTCGGCAAAAGCACCTGTGACCACCCGGACAGAAATCCGTCTGCTGAGACCTCTGCGCTTCCCCCTGTGGGGGGCGACCCTCATGTCGTCCACTGTTTAGATATTTTTGTGAGTCCATTTTGTTTTTGTCATGTTTTGTGGTTTTGTTTGCGCTCTCTCTCTCTCTCTCTCTTTGACAAGGAAGCTTCTTACTGTTTCACCGAGTGCTACAATACTTGCTTTGATGTCACATTGAACAAATGTACACTGTCTCTTTGTTCTCCCTAGTGTTCTTGGACACAGTTTTTCACGGAGGAGAACAAAGACCGCACGCTGTCAATAAAGCACCGTACATAGTAGGTTCAGGAATGTAACACGCCATGTACATCCATGTCCCAGGGAAGGGCTGCGGGCTTATCCTCACCTCACATCTGCAGGGAGAGGGGAGAGAGGCAGACACTGAGAGGACGAGACCACTAAGCACACACATCACTGTATAGAAGGCAAATGGGGCAAAACATTTCACCCAATCAAGGGCACACACATTATGGCAAGTCTTAGGATTTAAATTTCCCATAAAATTTTCAAAATCAAATTTGCCATATTAGCCATACTGCAACATCCTGACCAGAACTGGGAGGAGGCTCACAGCATCTCACAGAAGAACACATCTTGAGAGCAAGCCCCATTCTCCCATTGTACAGATGGGGGAAACTGAGGCCCAGAAAGGTTCTTTTGCCCTACCTTCCTTTCCTTCAGCCTAGGGTTTGAACGTGATTTCTAGAGCTCTAGCAGTCATTTAGGGCCTCAAGTCAACTCCAAAAAGACACTACCAGACACAGAAAGTAGGAGTCCCTGTGACCCCTACATACCTACATGAGCTCTTTAATAACAATTCTCTCATCTTCCTGGCCCATCCATTGTACAGTGTCATTTGTGCACCACCCACAGGCCCAGGGCATGTACGCTAGTGGGCACGAGGCTGCAAGAATACCTGCCTTGCTTTGTCATCAGCTGGCCCGAGAGGCGAGAGCCTTGAACCACACCCCATGCCATAGTTTGACTCTCAAAGCCAAGGCTGAGCAATCACTTAGGGGTTGCTTTAGGGACTCCCTCAAGTAGGCACTCTCCTCCCAGAGGATCCTCATGAATGGACCTGACTCATGGGCCTCATACTTGCCCAAGAGGAGCCAAGGCTCTCAGACACCCTATCTCTGAAGAATCTCCTCTATTCTAAAACAACTGTTTGTTTTGGATGCCGTGCAGTCTCATGTGCCAGGGGGAAGGACCAGGCTAGATGGGGCTCCGGCTCTCCTGAGCCAGACAGGTCAGTTATAAGGACCAGGAAGGCTTGATCCTATGGTTCACCATTTTCTTCTGGAAAGCAATATGCTTCATTTAGAGAATGCACTTTCCAGGCTCCCTTGCATCTGAGGGATGGCAGATGATAACAAAACCAGAGTCACTGGGTGAGATTTCTGGGAAAACTCTCTAAGAGGTTTTGTTTTTGTTTTTGCCCTTCTCCCATCTTAAGTCTTTCTTCCAGCCTACAACATACATGTGATTTCTGGAGCTTCAGCAAGCTACCATGGGTCATACGGTAACTCTGACAATAAATGCCACTATCCCCAGAGAAAAGGTAGTCCCTGACAACACCTACCGCACCTGCTCTGGTCTCCCCATCTATACATGAGTCATGAACTTCTACCTTATTCCAACTCCTGTTGTTTCTGGTGTTACTAACAGCCAAAAGCAATCTCTGGTACAGCAGCCTAGAGTCCTGTGCAGTTATCAAGTATTTTCAGATCCACCATGCCTCAAGCAACTCTTATCCATAACCTGTTAAGCCTCAGTTTTTTCATCTGTCAAATGGGGTGGACAACCTGCCCACAGCGATTCCAACTAGTCAGCATCAGATCTACCCTCTGCATCCCCAATCAATGATGAGAACAAAGCTAGAGGGGGCTTTGGAGTAGGAGTGAGCCATGGATCAGGGCTGTGAGGCAGGAGCAGGTGGGGAGCAGGGAGACCCACATCCCAGCAGACACGGAAGCACGCAGAGCCATCAGGGCCAATCAGGGCCAGATCCTCGCCACCCTGGCGAGATGAAAGTATGATTCGCTGGTGTGATCAGACTCGATTGCATCTCCCAGCCCTGTAGTTCAGCACGCCCAGCAGACAGGTCCTACCTGGTTAGCTGCTTAGATGGGTTTTAACCTTTTTCTTTTCCTCTTTTTACCTGACTCCCTACGCCTTCCTGTTAACGAAAGGGCAGGGGCAGTGAGTGGCCGAAAGGAAGGCTGTCAGGTGGAAAGCTAAAGCAATAAATACCTGAGCTGTTTATCTTTCTGAAAGAAAACTCACTTGGCCCTGGTACAAAACACTTCCGGGTCCTCTCCTCCAGCTCCCAGCCTGACAAAGCTGTCCCTGGGCAAAGCGCCTGGAGGGTGAAGGTCGAGACCCCAAGTAGCAACATGGCCTACACAATCCAGCATTCCACCTGCTCCTGCCAGTCTACCTGGGGAGGGGCCCTTCTACAGACCAAGCTCAGCTGAGCCCTGTGGCCTACTGGCCAGCCGGGTGGCTTCAGAAACGCAGCAGCCCCAGCACACACCACCTGGAACTCCTCTTCTGCCTGCTCTGCAGCTCCCCCGTGGTCTCCACCCCATCACTTCCCAGCAGTCTCTAAGTGTACACGGTGCCCACAAGAAGGACGCCAACCTATCCACTGCCCCCAACACCCTTGCTGCAGGGTCCCGTCTCAGAACCCCAGAAGCAAAGCTTTGAGGATCCAATCCAGAATGACAATGATGAGGATGATGAAGGCAGCCACTTACCCGTCTCCTCTTCCCGATAATCTGGATTCAAGCTGGAGGTTGTACACGCGCACTCCAAGTGTTCCTCTAACCTCACCTGGACTTCTTTTAATTTTGGCTTCTTCCTGACGTACTCCACCTTGGCCACCTGCCGAGAGAACAGGCCCAGCCATGAACAGCTGGCTGGAGTGACACACTTCACAACCTGCTCAGAGCTAGCCACACCAGGCCCCACCCCAGGCCAGGAGGAAGGCAAGAAGGGAGGCCAGAAGAGAGGACAGGGGAGCCCGGCCTCTGATCTCTGACCCCTGACCTCTTCTGAAATATTGTACCTCAAGGTGGGGACAGCAGACGGGCTGGATAAAAATAATCAAGCTACAGCACAGTATTTGTGGCTTCGTCCAATCTTCACTTAAAATAAACCCAAAGGCTGGCCTGTGCTGGAAAGGTCGGAAGGCTGCATACACAGCAAAGATGGAACTCCGGGGCAGGGGCGGTGTTTGCTCGCATGTTTATGAACAGCTGGGAAATGTTTTCCAAGGGGTACTTGGCTACAGTGGAAACCAGCCAGGACCCGGGAATGAGATCTGCTGCCGTACTTAGTCCCCCCAACCCTTGCTCCGGGTGCCCACGTAACCCCTGCCCCCAGCCTCCAGTCCAAGGAAAAACAACACACGCAGTCCCAGAGGGCCCCACAAGGAGGGTTTGGATTAGATTCTGGTTTCTGTGGACTCCAGAGTCCAGACAATGACCCCATGTGCTCTCAGCCATGCTGCTGGCCTCACAGGGACCCTCCTCTGAGGCAGTTAGGCCAGGCAGACCCACTGCTACCTGGTGGCCTCAATCCCAGGCACGAGGCTGTCCTTGAACACAAGAGGTCTGCCCTTCTCAGCTACATGGGTGAGGACTCAAGGCCATCCCCGGGGCCACACAGGTGGATCCAGGAGGAGGACTGGGATTCGAGTCATGGCTTTCAGGTATAGGGAGCTTAGTCAGTGTCTCCTTTTCAGACTTGAGTCTATCCAGCCAAGGGTCACACTAGCCCTCAATTCCCTGGGCACAGCAACACAGCCCTCCCAGGGGAGCTACGGAGGGCACAGCCCAGTCCCCCAGCACAACCTCCAGGTGCTCAGGAAAGGCACGTGAGGAATCGAACCCCTAGTCCATATGGTGCAGGCAGCCTGGGTGTGTATGGTCCTAGACAATGGCGTGTTGTGTCAGGAATACAACCCACCCCACCCACTCACGTGCATGTGCAATGCACACACACACCTTCTCATAGGAACACAATTCCTCACACAAACACACATGTACAACACACATACCTCCGTCTCCAAAGGAACACAACTCCATCCCTCACTTGCATGCATGTGTGATGTATACATACACCTCCTCGTGGGAATATAACTTCGTCCACACATACACACATGTACAATGCACACACACCTCCTCACAGGAGCCAACCACCTACACGCGCACTCCCACGGTGCACACGCCTGGCATCAGTAGACCCTTGGTTCACAATCATGGTGAGCACCTACCCTCGAGACAGCCATATGCTGTCCACCGTGCTGAAGAAACCCACGCCCTCACTGCAGCCCAGCCTAAACACAAGGAATCAGAAACAGAGCTGTGACTCTCCCAGGCCACCTTCCTTGGGTCCAAATATCGACATTCACTTAATCCTCTCAAGGGCCCTATAAAGAGGCAAGATTATCACCTCCACTTACAGAAAAGGAAACTGGGGCACAGGCAAGCCCCTCCCCCAAGATGGCTCCACAGCATGAGTGGCCAGGCTGGTACTAGACACTGGCAGCCTGTCCCTAATCACTAGGTGACCTGTCTGTCACCTGGAGTGTGTACTGGGAATGGTCACCATCCTTCTGCCCTCCCCAGGCCCCATGGAGCCAGGCAGAGTAGGCACCCTCCTCCCCGCATGTCAACAGAATAAACCCCATAGCTCACCCCACATCTAAGTCACAGGAATGGCCATCGGGGACCACCCACTTCTTCCCTCACCCACCATTCACTGGGGAACTGAGGCTGAAAAAGGAGAAGAGCCCGCCCGGTTACCCGGAGCATGTAGAGGTCAGGAACAACTCCCTGGCTGGTACTGCACCAGTACTGATCGGGGACACCGCACACAGACCAGATGCCCCAGCCCTGTGGCCCGGTTCCTGCAGGGGCAGGCAGGAGAGTGAAAGAGGATGGTGGTTCTCCAACTTCCTTCCCAGGGCGTCTGAAGTCTAGGAGCCAGGAAGACCCCAAGGTACCCTTGGACCTGGCAGCCATCACAAAGGCAAGCCGGCCCCACCGGTGTGGGAGACCAAGCCTGCCCAGACCCTGCGTGGCTGCACTGCCTTGGCCACATTAATGGTTAACCTGCGGTGCAAAGGGTGTCGGGCACCCGGCAGGCGTGTGAAGTAGAAGGGGCTGCCTCGGGTGTGAATGCAGCGCCAGGTATGAGCTCAGCAGGTGTGGGGCATGGGGCATAGGGCACCCGGGGTCAGGAGCCAGCCAGGGAGTTTCGCTACGTCAGGAGGTGTGAGAGACACAGGCCTGGGCAGAGAAGCATAAGCCTTTTCCCAGGGAAGCTACTTCCTGGACAGGGCTCAGTTCCACCAGGCACCTGCCAGGCAGAAGCCTTGGACCACTCCTGCAATCTGCCCCTTTCCCATGGACAAGCGAGCGCGAAGGAGGGGAGTCTACAAGCTATGCAGGTACCTCCACTTCTCCATCTAGAAAATGGAAACATCAACCACACCCACCCTCGAGGTCATGACAAGGAATAAATGAGATCATATAGCAAAGCATCCAGAACTGGGACCAGCAGATGGCCTAATGGTTACGTTGCTGAACTCCCACATATATCGACTGCAGTTCAAGTCCTGGACCCGGTGGCTTAAAACTCAGTCAGGCATGTGTGCGTGTGTACCCAAGATGCCAACAGGAGAATGGACAAGGGATTGTGGCGTGGCCACCACCACCACCGCCCCACCCCACCCCCCAGGAATTGATTTCTTACTTTCTGTCTGTCTCTCTGGCAAGCACACGCACCCTATAGCAATAATCTCTCAAAAAAAAAAAGCACCCAGAACTTAGGACAGACTTGACCTTACCTGACAGCTACTAACCCAAATGGGATTCTACTGCAATCAGTATTTTAATACACACACAGCCAAAGACAAAACCAGCCCCAGGGCCTGAATTAGGGACAGACTAGGCACACTGGCCCCAGGCCCAGCAAACCAAGAGTAGAGTCCCAAATTGATCCTCCTTTTAAGGGCCCTGGGGTGGGGCACCCACTCTGGACCACAACCACACCACTAGCTCTCCATGAATCAGGGACACTGAGTCTGCCTAGCTAGTCCCTGAGAGCACTGAAGTACTTTAAAACAGCCCAGTTCACCTCTGCGCCTGCAGGGCCAGAGAGCCTCCTTCCCCCAACTGAGGGCTCTGGTCAGATTCAGGCAGGAGGACGGAGCACCCACCGAGCACTCATGCCCCACCACACTGCTCTCCCTCACCCCCAGCCTCTGCAGAGCACCCAGAGGTGAGGCAGTGGGCTCTGGTGTCTGAGCCCTGGGCCGGGCTGCAGCAGGGCACTTGTCCCGCTCTTGGCCCAGACCCTCGCTCCAGTCGCATGGCCTCTTTGGTCAACAAGCAGCCTCACCTCATTCTCTCTGCAGGACAGATACTAGGGCCCAGGCTCAGCTGAGACTGCAGGGCCCCTCTGGCCAGACGCAGGACTGCAGAGGGGGCTGGCTTGTTCTCCACCCGAGACAGGCAGGCTGCCACGGGAGG